ATTTACAGAAGAATGAGGTTGTGTTTTAATATTTTGCCTCCAGGGTCGGTCATCGTGCACGCGACCTATATACCTTCCTTCCCTACCTACTCTTTCTAGGAACGCATGATTTTCCATTTAGATAATAGGGACAATTTCGTGCTCCTCAATAGATAAAAAAAAAATCGAAATTATTCAGATGAGAGACATAGTTATTGTTTCGCAAATTTCTGACCAAGATTTCTGTAAAACCCTGGAGTAACTTAACGCCCTGTAATTCCCCAACGATTCTAACAAGCATGTTTTGAACATTTTTCAAAGACAGGTACCTATATAAACTGTGACCAAGATAAGGTTGGACATGAGGACATGAGGAGATACGAATTCGGTTGAATCAGAAAAAAGTTTGGCATTCCGAGTGTTATAGCCACGGCCTTCGAAAAAACTGTTTATAGTTTTTCAGTTATATTGAAAATAGTGAATTTTTGGAAAATGAATTTTATTTTTTCTACGATAATAATACCTATCGGAGAAACTGGAAAACTAAATATATTTATCCCTAGCAACTATTGATAAAATTAAATGGGGTGATATTGATTTCCCTACGCGACGTTTCGTATTCGTGGAACTATCATCAACTTTTTTTTTCTCCAAATATGGTCCTGATTATGTGTTCACTGATTCAGAAATCATTTTTTATTCGGAAATCAGCCACGTATTATACAAGGTGATTTGAATGTGTTCGGACCATCAGTTCCATTTGATTCTGATCATTCAGTGGCAAACATTGATGAAGAATTTATTAAATACTGTTCCTATATTTGGTGTGCAGCACCCAAACATATCCTGAAACTGTTGGATTCTGTCCAAAAAAGGGCAATTCGTTTCGTGGGTGATGCCTGTCGCTCACAAACTCACTCACTTCTCTGGAACACCGTAGAAAAGTTGGCGATCTGGCTCTATTTTATAGATATTGTCATGAACGATGCTCTTCTGAAATATCAACAATTGTTCCTCCCTTGGCAGTCCCCGCGAGATTAACCCGTCGAGTTGAGGCTTTGAACCCCTTCGCGTGCCTTCGTGGTCACTTTGGAGACCTGCAGAACATCTCTTACCAAAGACTCGTTCATCCAAACGAACAGCGAGGCTCTGGAACACATTGCCAAGGGAGGTGTTCCCCGAGGCATATAACCTCCAGAAATTTATTTTCCTTGGTTCTCACGATGTTCTCTGAACATTACAGGATATCCCTTTTCGTGGGAACCAGAACATAAAAAAAATACTCCATAAAGTATTCAATGCAGCGCTTCAAATTGTTTAATTTTGATGGATTATCACACGAAAAACCTTGATACCGAGTGATCAGAAATAAGTGAAACTGGTGGCATTTCCTCTTTGAAATTTCGAAGAAACATTGATGTTGTCTAAAACTAGGTCGAAACAGATTCAAACCACCTTGTATAATACATGGTTGAATTTAGAATAAAACAAATGCTTTCAGTATCTGTGAACACATAATCAGGACCGTATTTGAAAACAAAAAGTTAATGATAGTTCTACTAATACGAAACGTCGCGTGGAGAAATCAATGTCACTATACGTTGAATCTCATCAGAAGTTGCAATGGAAAAGTATTTTCAGTTTTTCTGCATCCCTAATAATAATGTAGAAAGAAAAATGAATAGTTTTCCCAAAGAATAACTTTTTTCGATATACGTTGGTATATGACCCAACTTTTTTCCCATTTAACCGAATTCGTATCTCCTTCCGTCTCGGGGCCTCCATCATGTGTCACGCTGTATTCCGCTCATTTTTTTTCGGAAAAAAATTGAGTTTCCCTTTTTTTATGCTCTGTATCCCACGAAAAGGGATATCCTGTAATGTTTAACATCGTCAGAACCAAGGGAAATGAGGTGGAAATTGGTGTTCTTAAATTTCTGGAGGTTGTATGCCTCGGGGAACACCTCCCTTGGCAATGTGTTCCAGAGCCTCGCTGTTCGTTGGATGAACGAGTGTTTGGAAAGAGATGTTCTGCAGGTCTCCAAAGTGACCACGAAGGGGTGCGAAGCCTCAACTCGACGGGTTAATCTCGCGGGGACTGCCAAGAGAGGAACAATTGTTGATATTTCCATGAAAATATCTATAAAATAGAGCCATATCGCCAACTTTTCAACGGTGTTCCAGAGAAGTGAGTGAGTTTGTGAGCGAGGCATCACCCACGAGACGAATTGCCCATTTTTGGACAGAATCCAACAGTTTCAGGGTATGTTTGGGTGCTGCACTCCAAATATGGAAACAGTATTCCAGGACAGGTCGTATCTGTGCCTTATAGATCATAAGCAGCTGACTGGAACTGAAATAGCTCCTGGCACGAAACAGAAAACCAAGTTTTCGGGATGCACTTTCAGCAATTGATCTCACGTGATTTTCCCAAGAAAGGTTATTGCTGATAGTAATACCAAGCATCGAAATGGATGTCTTCAGGGGTATGGTTACTCCTGACAAGCTTATGTTGGGCACAGTGAGATCACAGTTAAAAGAATATACAATATTGTATATTCTTTTAACTGTGGTGAGATCGTCTTTTTTGTATTTACTTCATTGCTCTTAGAAATCATCCGGTGACATAATATTATTATTTAACTCAAATAAATAATGTACTAAATAAAAGAAGCATGATACGCCGCTGGGTTACGGGCCTCTAAAACAGCAAGACTAAAAAAAGTGCGGAACCGGTCAAAAACGAGGCGGTAAGCCAAAATGACCCCTGTGCACCGGACGATAGCGACTTCTGGGCGCCGGACGACTAAAAAAGTAATTATACGGATACTTTACAGGGTGATTCACCGTGCTCGAAAGGAGCATTAGATGTGATTTTAGCTAGCTGAGCGTTTTGAAAATTTGCATCAAATGTGAGTGTTATGAGGCAGAAGAAAAAATGAGCTCAAAGATAGCTTATCTTTAAATGAAGCACCCTGTGTATTAAACAATTTTCTAAACTCTTATTATCACGAAATTAAAAATGAACAGATAAATCTTATAGAGACTAGATTATTTTTCTTCTAAAAATTTGGGATCATCTTAGAACAAGAAAGGTATGAAAACGCCATAAATACCGCACGTTTCATTATAGAGAAAATTATTTTTCAGCGAAAACGTGATTTTCCTTGCAAGGGAGAGCAATTCTCATAACGTTAACTTTCGTTTCTACACCTTTTCCAAATTTAGTTAAAAAATGGTCAATTGTATTTCCTAATAGTCATCTCGATTTCAAAAAATATTATTTGTATTTCAAATTGTCAATTTAATTTCAAAAAGTATCAAATATATTTCAAAATTTCCAATTCAATTTCAAAATGCATTAATTATATTCCAAAATAGTCATTTCAATTTGAAAAATAATCAGTTATTTTATTTCGAAGTAATCAAATCAATTCCAAAAACTCAAACTTGAAATTCTAAAATAGTCATTTGTTTTTTCTAAAATATCAAATGTATTTCCAAAACTATCTAATGTATTCCGTTAAGCAACATTCGAATTTCAAAACCAAAAAAGTAAAGGTAAGATGGGTTTTAGGTGACCTTTTCATTAGCGTTGGAAGATATTCCTGTCGGACAATAACTTTCATTTTCTTAAAACATATGTATAAGCTTTCATCTCATATTAAATTGTAGTAGACTGATTTTTGCATTTCAGATGATTAGTTTTGAAATTGAAATGATCCATTTCAATACTGAAATGGATTTTTTTGAAATTAAAATTACTAATTTGAAATACAATTGACGCATTTTGAAATTGAATTGATGATTTTGAAGAACATTTTGACACTTTTTGAAAAATACATTTGAAACTTTTTGAAATCAACTTGACGCTTCTTGTACTGAAATTGAAAGAGGTGTAGTGACGAAAGTGAAATAATTGACATTTTGTTACCTGTCAACAGAGATAAAATGTCAACCTCTTGCCACTAGATCGTAATTCTCCCTCATTTTAAAAAAAAGTTGAGTTGAGGGTTGAATAACTATACCTGCTCTAGTTTTTTTTTTCAAGAAAATATATATAGTTTATCAGGAACCACACTGTCTTTCTACTTCTCTCGAATCATTTTGTCATTGGACACTTTATATACTTATGATGTACTTCAATGACACATTTTCAAACAGAAAATTCAACACGAAATATGGTTTTTATGGCGAGTTTTTGATATTTAGTGAACAATCATACCAAATGACGGCCATTTAATTAATAATCAATCCAAATAGTAGATGTCAAATGTCAAATGGCTTTTCAATGTGGAAACACATACCATTATTTTAAATGATATTTTTACTTCTTTTCGCTAGATATTGATATAAATCACAATATTCTAGTTGACTTTCATTATATGAAAAAATGTGTCATTGAAAAACAACGTGATATATAAATTGTCAAAGAATGGCAAATTGTTCTAAATGCGATCCAAAAGACAGGCGGAAAAGAAGGTGAATTTTGTAACTTCATAGTGAAATATCTTGATAAATAATGGTTTGTTCACATTTTCATTATCAAATTCGTATTTTTCAGACAAAAATACGTAAGTAACAAAAAAAATCTCGTGAAATTCATTGCGGCTTATCGAAATTATATTTCTATAGTATCATAATAAATATGAACTTGTGAGAAAATATTTTTTTGAAGAATAATCATCACATAAAATGTGGGAATTTATTTCGTTTATCTCCATAATTCAAATTTATATCATTTGTTTACTCCATTCAGCGAGAATGACCCTGTATAATACCTACCTGTCCCGACCCTACCTGTGACCGACCGCGGAGAATCTTATGAATGAAATCTCTCACAGCCTACTACTGCTCGATGTGACGCCACAATGGCAGAGTGCGTGTAAAGTGTAAATAATAAACAGTGATAGGTAATCAATAAGTGTTAGGTGTCATTTGAGATTTTTCGGGATCATTCTTCTATTGTTCGTTGCCGGCGATCTAGTGTGCGTTACCTACTTTCAATTTTTGGAAATTAGGCATGGACCCCGAATTTCTGCAGGATATTTGGAGGGCGTCGTTGATTATGAGGGCCCAGGAAAATTTTGAAGTGGAGAAGAAGGACGTATTTTGGCAGCCGTGGTTGGATAAAGGTATTTTTTTATTTTATTTTTATGGAAATGGGTTTAACTTTGGTTGAATTAACCTGGCGGAACTGCGACCACTGCGACCACTGAGAAGGGACAAGATGTCGGTAGATCCTTCTCTTGAAGGTCGACAATAAGTTGTAGTATTTTAGAAAAACACCTGTGGGTGAAGAAGACGAAACGTCGAGTGATGAATGAGAAAATGCCATCTTATGACTGGGAAAAAGTGGCAATATTTATTACCCCAAGAAATATTTCTGTTTATAATAGGGATACATGAATACATAAAAAATATGTACAATAAAGGGTTAATTAATGAATTCCACTCAGTGGAAACACATATTTTTTCTTAAGATGCAAGTTATTTCATTTCTGAGTAATTAAATCATGCCACATATTTTTCATTCAAATTGTCCTGAGCTAGTATTTTTTAATACTGATTTTGAACCTTCTTGTAACATGTATATTTTTTTACTCATTTGGTAATGAATTGTATAAAATTATTCCATTGTGAAATACAGATTGTTTGCCAATTTTTCAATTTATCGCTGGCAAAATGAATAAAACATTATATATTAAGTTTATATAAAGAAATCAGGTTCAGAAAATGTCTAGGTTTATATAAATTTACCGTTGGTTCCAGAAAATGTAGATGAAAAATGCATTTAATTGATTTGTTTTGTAATTTCATTAGTGAAATATTAGTACTCCCCCAAATAGAAATTAAATATTGCAAATTTGAATAAATGAGGAAAAAGTGAATACATTTCAAGTATTTTATGGGAATGATATTTCGGATTTTGAATAAAATGTCTATGATCGGATTTATTTTATTTCTCAAATGGTCTATATGTTTAGTCCATAATGATTTTTCATCAATATAAAGACCTAAAAATTTTGTCACGTCTGTATATTTAATGAATCTATTTTTGAAAGTTATAGCATTATTCGAAATATTAACTTATCTCTTGGAGATATACATACAGGGTGTCCGGAAATTATGCGCATAAAATCATGGGGGTGATTCTACATGATAAAATAAGAAATTCATTCCATATGTACGTGGGTCCGGAAATGCATAGTTTGCATGATACAGTGTGTTGAAACTTATAAAAAAGATCGTTTTTTATGAATATCTCAAATGTTCATTCACCGATTTTCTCGAAATTTGGCAATGATATTTTTCGTCATGAGGGGCTGATATAGCCCGATATAGCCATAATTCAATTTGAATTATGAGATCCAGTGGCGTTCCGGGGGGCAACCTACCAAATATTATTGTCAATAAAATGTGCGCCACTGATTTTTTCATTTCTGAATCTTCATAACCTATTGACCAACTAAAAATACAACATTTCGGTGTCCTGAATTGTTTTGATAATTTGCTTCATTTCCATACAAAAAAATAAATACCAATTTATTACATAAATTTTTGCCAATAAATTCCTTCAAAAACTGGGGTTAAAATAAATGCATGATCAATGTCCATAGAATTGGTATTTATTTTTTCCATGGAAATAAAGCAAATTATCAATACAATTCAGGACACCAAGATGTATTTTTAGTTGGTGAATATGTTATGAAGATTCAGAATTAAAAAAATCCGTGGTGCACATTTCATTGACAATAATATTTGGTAGGGTGCCCCCGGGACGCCACTGGATTTCACAATTCTAATTTAATTATGGCTAAATCAGCCCCTTATGACAAAGATTATCATTGTCAAATTTCCAGAGAATCAGTGGAAGGATATTTGAGATATTCATAATAAACCGATATTTTCTAAAAAGTTTAACACACTGTATCTTGAAACCAATGCATTTCCGGACCCACGTATATATGAAATGAATTTCATGTTTTCCCATGCAGAATCAACTCTTTGATTTTTTGCGCATAATTTACGAACACCCTGTATATGAAGATTTGTTATAATTCAGTCAACTTATGAATTTGCATCCAAGATGATATGTTTCCCAAATCATTTTTGATATCCCGTTCGATATCATAATGTGTGAACCAATCATGAATTGTAAAATGGTATGATCTACAGTGTCAAATGCCTTACATAGGTCCAGGGACAAGAAGCCACATTTATAATTTTCGTCAATTCGTGACTGGATGTCCTAAATTAAATCCATTACAGCTATCTCTGTATTCTTTGATATTCTTCATGGAATAATGCCACAAAAAAACGAATATGATTTTTTAATATTCCTGATTTTGTCGAATATCTTCGGAAATATTCACAGGGATTTCCAAATTTTCTGCACCTCGTAGCACCATTTTTTTGAAAATTTTGCCCTGATTCAACCATCTGCGTGTCTCTTAAAGCCGCTTAAAGCTTCCGAGATTCCAGTGATGGCCTTCGAATTTTTGAATTACCTGGTTTAATAATCGAATAACGTCATATCAATATTCCTCAAAAGATCTATCGATATTGATAGATCGATCGATATATCGATAAATATCGATATATTTCGCACAGCCCCACAGCCCTAGCCCTGATGACTATGTTGGCGCCATGGTCATGCCCATGCCGTAATGCCGCCGTCTATCCGGCCATGATGGTATTAGGTCAACTCAGCTTATCAACGGACAACTTGCCAGCATTTAATCAACGGTCAACTCATCAACGACCCAACTCAACAACGATACAATTCATCCCCGAACCCACTTCATCAACACCTAACCTAGCAACTACCCAAGTCAACAACGACTCATCTGATTAACACCCTCATTCCGTCAACTCATCAACAACCCAAATCATCAACATATCCATTTCATCAATACCAAACTCATTAACTCGAGGGGTAAGTACATGGGGTAATCCGGTGTACAACTTAGGGGTATTGCGGGGCAATGCGAGGCAGTGTGGGGCATTGCGGGGTAATGCGAGGCATTGTCGGGCACTGCAGGGTATTGATGGGCATTGCAAGGTATTGTGAGGCATTGTTAGGCAATGCGGGGTATTGAAATAGCACTGAAAGGGCAATGTGGAGCAATGTTTGGGCCTAATTTGTTGCGCGCGCATCCGTTTCTGTTCAAGGTCACTATATTCAGTTCTATCGTTCAAAGTGATGCCTCCGTAGTCCGTCTACATTCTGATTGCGCCATTCAAGCTTTTCGCATCACGTCATGCTGTCATCAACTCCAGCTACAGCTATAGCTTTGGATTGGATTGGAATAGGATTCAACCGACTATTCGAGTAAAAACTACGATATAGATGAGAAAAGTCCATATGTGAAAGTCACTTTGAGGAATTATAATATGATCATAATGAAAAAATCATCATTGTGCTGGCTTCTGAATGAGGGGTAGGGACGTATCAGTAACGATCGCATACAGCGTTTCAATTCTATATCCTCGATCTGTCCAAAAAAAAAAGTCAAAAATACCTGCTGAAAATTCAAAAACTGAGAAAAAGAAAACTGAATGTATCGGAGATTCTTCAGAAGAAGAAAATGAACCAGATATCGTTTTAGACGATTCCACAGATGTGGAGGCATTCTACTCTTTGGGAGAAGATCCAGAAGGAGATAGGATGATGAAAAAACTTGACGTTTTCGATCCCGAAATGGGTGAATAGATAATTTCTATGCAGTGGTATTTGATAAAAACTGGTATCTGGGACTGGTAATGAAAAAGAACCAAGACAGATTCGGGATACCAAAAGAATGTATTTTCACGGACCTCTTGTACTTGGGTAAAATTCTCTGTTTCTCCTGAAAAGAGCGGATAAAGTGAACATTTCCAATCTTTATTTGAAGTCGAAAAAAAAAGCATATCCAGTGTGATGTGCTTTAACAAAATATATATTCAGGTTCAAGCTGTTTTTGGTTCAAGAAAATCTCAACTTTGTTCTAGTTTCGAGAAAGAATTCAGAGAGAGTTTTTTTAATAACTATAAACTTGAAAAAATGTTTAATTTTAGTCGAGATTTTAGTACTGTTACCTAATATCTGGACTTATATGTATGCCCGGTGTTTCTGTTACCAAACTATGATCTCTGAATAAATGTGATACTGTCTAAAGAAGTATACCTCTAGGAATAACTACTTAGTTATCAAGTATAGGAGAGACAAAATGTTCGCCTTAAGTCCTAAGTTGTTTTGCGAAAAGGCGTGTGTTTCTATGTTTGTTTAATGTTCGACTGCTTGTTATGTGTAATTTCTTGATAGAATATGTATAATTATTCATTATTTCTCGTCCCATCAGATTATTGATTCACTAAGACATTAAAATAAATTCGAACTATGATGTAAAAGACTAAGTCAGTTTTTATATTTCAATATAGTCTGTCTCTCTTCAACACATGGAATGAAAAGAGATAGTTATATAGTGCACTAGGGGCATTGTTGAGCATTGGGGGGCATTGTTGGGCATTGAGGGGCATTGTTGGGCATTGCGGGGGCAATGTTGGGCAATGCGGGGTATTGTTGACCAAAAAATGGGCATTGCAGGGTAATTTCGGTGAATTGAGGCATTCATTACCCCTTGGTGTACAAAAAATGGCTAAGTACTTACCCCTCGCATTAACTACTTAATTCATCAAACACCCGACACATACTCAAATTATCACTGATCTTGACTCGCATCCAGATCATCAACGCACTCATTGCGTGAAACCCAAGCAGCCAATTCATCAACGATCTATTTATCAACTACCCGACTCATCAACGGCCTGACTCATGAACACCCAACATCAACGAGTCAAATCATCAACGAGTCTAATCATCAACGAGTCATATCATCAACGAGTGAAATCATCAACTGTTTCTGGGAATTTCGAATGGATATGTATTTACATCTGGTACTGTTTCTGTTCATATTCTACTTGAATGATATCCTTGACGATATATACAGGGTGGCCCACGGTCGATGGTACCTTAGACGTATACGGAAAACGGTACATTGGATTATATTTTCAGCGATTCAGCGTTGCCACTTTTATCAGAAAGTAGCATCATCTTTGTTATTTCAAATGGAACACCCTGTATTTCATTGCG